ACTCGTGTAGCCTAATTGGTCGGTGCGTTTCCTGGACTGCTGACCGAGAACTGTAAAGGCTAGAAAAGCTGCGCAGGTTAAAATAGAAACGCTCTGCCAAAATGTATAATTCTCAATTATCCATCAGTTATACGTCCGGGTCCGGATAGGACAGCGTCTGGGTCCGGATCCGGACCGCGGTCCGCCTATTAGTAACCCCTGAAATAGACCATAAAGCAGGGTATGTTTTAGGGCGTGGCTACCGAGTGATTGACAGGTCTCTAACACGGCTTAAACCCTTTCACAGTGTTTAACATTGCGATGATCAAAAACCGAGATAACCTAACCTAAATTAAAGGCTGAAGAAACGCTGGTACACGGAGTTACCAACTAGACCCTAAAACTGTGTCAGAGCCTTCCTAAACACCCCATGTTATTGCTCCAAAAATGCGTTGTGTCTTCTGATATGTTTAAGGTATGGCTAAGATGGAGCCACTCAAATGTATGGTTAATGTTGTGAAAGACTTTAAAACTAAGTAGCATTGATTGTTGGAGACAGAACCCAAATTGTGGACTCCGGTGTTGAAGTCTTATGCAAAGTACACCTGACTTTCCACCCTGACCTCCACAATAAGTCAAATCTAAATCGATGCAGCTTACAACACTGTTGTACACTCTTAACCAGGATGAGGAAAAACTCTCAAGAGGTTTTGTGGTGGTGTAACAACATCACACTGCTTTTGCCTTTGCTACTGAGAGAGGACCAGTGTACAACTGCAATAAGTCTCTTGTTAAGCATTGGAACAAATTAGTAATGCCGTCATTGTTTCTGGTGATAAAAGTCTTGGAGTTGTGGCCTTTCACAAAGAGGGAAATGTCACAGTAAAAACACCTTGACCAGCCAGCAGGAGCTGTTGGTGTGATAATAAATACCCTTTGACCTAATCATTTGCTTAGCTATGACATCATTATATAAATTACTTTTAGTTTGGACCACCTGAAGGACTGGCCACCTCTCCAAGGTCCCTCCCTCTCACCCATTGCATGCTAAATAGGCTCCAGCCCCAACAACCTTGACTAAATGGGGATAGAAAAAGGGGCGCATGCATATGATATCACTTTTGATATCATATAGATATCAGATGAGATGAGAGAGGTAGATGTTGCTTCCTTTCCATCGCTTCCAACCATTCCAGCATGTCAGTATTGTGTCCCTGTCCTGAAACTTAGCTGTCTTTTTGGAATGCCAAATTGCCAATTCTGTTCATTACCCTTTGATTCTTGTACAGTTCCTACTTAAACCTGCTCTGCCTCCCTGCACAACAACCGTGACAATAAGCATACATGATTTGAATGGTGGATATTAGCAAATACTAATACCTTACTTAATTGAAGCTACTGAGAACAAAAAGACAATCAAGACAAGCTGCTTTGTGGTTTATTCCTACTTAATTCTTTAAAGAAAACTTTAAAAATTGATGCTGTAGATTAAAAAACTAAAATGCCTGAGACAAAGAATTATTAGGAGAAGCCCATGAAAACGATATAATCAAACTGGAAAGGACACAAGCATCTTGATGAAGGAAAAACGGCATGAAAGAAGAAGACATGGAGCATAAAAGAAACCCTCAAATATAAAGATGCTTTTTCACGGCCAAACAACACCAGGCTGCTGCTGACACAAGCCCAGGGGCAATGCCATTCAACTCGTTATTCATGCCCTGGCTACATTTCTCCAGAGGCAGCGAACATCTCATCTTTCTATTCATCTTCAAAAAGTCTTCAAATGACTGTGTGGCCTGAATAGTGCGTCTGTACACTTTGGTGGGTTCAAAACCCACCAAGGCTGTGCACCACAGATTCTGCTCTGAATAGATGTTTTCATGTGCAAACCCTCCAAAAGCAAGTCTGGTTGAGACTCGGATGAAAAGACAACCAACTCAAATTAGGAATTAATTTGTATGAAAATCAAGACTTGTATCCTTTGCAGAAACAAGAGAAGTACTGAACACAGATGTGGTGTTAATCGTATTGCTGTTGAGACTGACGATGTGGTGGGTAGATGTGTGGATTCATTGTTCCAGGCTCAGCTAGATCTTCTCCCAGACAGCTGCCTGGTATTAAGGTGCTGCCTTTTGGATAGAAGTCAAAGCTGCAGTGAATTACTCTGTCACACACTTTTTTCATTTCTTCGAATGAGACAATGTGTGTGCAAACAGCATATGGCTTTTTGAAGACGTTAATTTTTTTAAAAACTCCTTCAAATACTTTTACTAATCTGGAAACTTTCATCCACATATCTGGGCCTTCACTGTGGAATTCAATGCGATGCGAAAGTTTCAGAGACACCAAACAGTAAATGGACCTTGTGATGAGAATCTTTAGTCAAAATAAAGAAACTACAAAATGTGTGAATTAACTGAAACAATGACCAAAGCTTTTCAAATTACATTGCCTAACTTAACCCACAAACCTTTAGGATATACATCTTGAGTTTGTTTCTCAAATCTCATCCCCACATTTCTTCTGAGCTCACCGTTAAAGAGATGGTTAGGACTTATCCATCAGTGCATTATCTACAGTAAACACTTTAAAACAACTAAGTTACACAACAACACTAACTAACTAACCAATCGAGGCAGCGGTAGACAAACAACTCCCATTTTCTCTGTGGGGTTAAATTACTGTTTTTGTCAATGGAGTCTTATGACTTTGAAGAGAGTTTAGATTGATAAAACAGCTGCAGTTTCCCGTCGTAAATGGTTATCTGAGAGAGGCCTTAACCTCCAGTTCTGCAGAGTGAAGTCGATGCAGAAGTATCTTAAAACGTGCATTCTCTCTACTGACCACCAGGGGGCGACTCCTCTGGTTGTATAGAAGTCTATGAGAAAATGACTCTACTTCTCTCTTGATTTATTACCTCAGTAAACATTGTAAACATGAGTTTATGGTCTCAATCTCTAGTTTCAAGTCTTCTTCAATACAGCATGATGTTCATTTAGTACATTATGGTCCATTTAGAGTCACACAGACCATAAAGCAGGGGATGCTTTAGGGCGGGGCTACTGTGATTGACAGGTCGCTGCTCCTACCAGAGCCGTATACGGCAGCTCTATGCCACTCCTACACATTGCAAATACAGTCACTTCCGTTCATTGTTTGCGAAAAATAACAACACGGCGAAGGCCGTAATCCAAGATGGCGATGGGCAAAATCGTCGAACTCGATGCCTCAAAACGGCAGTCCATAAACCAATGGGTGACGTCACAATGACAACATTCCACTACTTACTGTATATACAGTCTATGATCTGACAGCAAGGTAAAGCTGAGAAAACATTTTAAATATAGCTTACACACAATACAACTGATACTGTTTTTTCTTCAGGTGGCTAAAACGTTTTGCTGCTGCCCCAGTCCACAATTGCTTCACTGAGCCACTGAGGCTATGAAGGCAAAGCAAAGAAACTAGTTCAAGACTTGTCATATACTTCTTTGCCTGAAGCTAAAATCAATTAAAGTCTGGAGCCGCAGCCCAATATAACAGTCCAGATAAATCATCCCCTAACAAGGAGACTGACATACTTCCTCTGCATAAAATGCCCTCTGATTAAATTGCCCATTTGGCAGAATCCCAAGCGTCAAATCCTTGGTTCTCCCTTGATGGTGATCTGCTCCTCCAGAGCCACACTGCAACTGATGTGATGTGTGTCCTCATTATGACAGGAGAGGAGAGGACAAAGTGTTTGGTGCTGATTCACCTCTGCGCCCTCACTGAAATGCTGATCCTGGCTTATATCAGACCGCAGGTGAGCTGAAAATCAAATCAAATGGGAGGAGCCAAGTTTGGAAACGATACAGTTTTTTGAGCGAGAAACGGAGGTTTGAGGAAGCATCTTGATTTAAACAAGCCTCACACCGTCCCAGAGGCTGCCGGTGCTAACGGCCGTAATCCTGCTGTGTTAAAACACAGTCTGGCCCCAGTTTTATGGAACAAAGTATCCTGAGGATTACTGTTCACATGGACGGCCAGAGTGCAAATCAACAAAAACAACAACAACAAAAAGACGGATTTACACAAACAACAAAGCAACAAGGCTGGAAAGTAAAAGTAGTAATGGTGCATTATTCTAGTTTTCCATAAAGGGTGGTTTCAAGAGATCTAATAAAAGCACAGGGAATAAAAAAATGTTAATATAGGTCAGTGTTTAAGCTCACCATGGTACCACAGACAACACAAGCTACGAATATCCTAGCAGTGTTTTAGACATTTTTACATCCGGCTTTCTCAATGTGAAACACAAACAAGTCCCCCAAACACAGAATTAATAAAATTAGAGACCACCTTGCGATGGGATCACACCAGCAGTGACGCCAAGTCGGACCAGGGTGTCCCCTTTGCCCCCCCCAATTTGGAACTCAGCCTTGATCTCGACTACACACCTTGAATGAAAGTTTCTGCAGCACCACATTTTGCCATGATGACTCACACACAGACTCACAAAGACAAGAACAACACCAGTCGTGGCTGATAACCAGCAATCAAATATATAAAAAAGGAAAACGTGTTTCAGATATAACATCATATACATATACTGCCAGAAACGTGAGGCTTCCTTTCTGTTCATTTTCAAGTTTTTGGTTGCTAGTGCCACAACAAATCAGATTTGAGTTAACCTTGAGGAAAATAATCAAGTCTTGTTTAATCCCTATTGGATAGGAACCCTAAAATGGACAAAAAAAACACACAAATACGATCATAAAACTATAACTGGCGCACTTAAATCATCTCCACATCTGAGGATTATTAAAGTGATTCCATTGTGATGAATACGGGAACAAAGAATAGCAGTTATTGCCATAGACACACACCAGACCTACAAAGGAATGCTATAAATAACAATGGATTCATATGTAAATGGTGCAAGAATACCATATCTTATTTCATGTCCAACAACAAGTAAAACTGATGAAAAGTAGTTTGAGGGTTTTTGTTGGGAAGAAGCATCAAAATGAACTCACCAGCTTTTCAGTGAAGGAGACATCGCAACAAAGCTCCCACCTCTTTAATGCCCATCGTCCGTCTCCAACAGAAAAACGCGTTCATCTCCGTTCAGGACACTTTCCTCTCTTCCTCTTCCTCTTCCTCTGCCTACATTCAACTGGACTTTTCCAACATCTGTCGCATCAGAGTCGCGCAATCCACTTTCGCCCTCCTACTTCATTAATGTCCTTTCCTTTCTCTCCCCCCGGGCTGCAGAAACACCTCGGGGGAGTTTTGGGATAATTGCGCTACTAGAATAATTTAGGTCGACTCCTGTCCGTGTCTGCCGTGTTGTGCTGGGGAGAAGCTGCCGCGCTCTGACCGCCGCTCTGCTGATTGCCCCCCCCCTCCCTCCGCATCTCCATCCCTCCGCTCGGCTGGAGCTCAACACCACGGATCCGCGGCTGGATCCGCGCCATGTGTCGGGGCCGTAATGCCTTAAATCGCCATGTAACTATAGTGAAACGTACGGATGACTCTATTACAGTTGTAACAAACCCGAATCAAGTCGGTACTTTTTGTTAACGAAACAACATTTTCGCTTAAATATAAAAAAGAAGGTCAATCCCATCGTCATGCTCGTTTTTACCATCCATTCATTATATGTTCACTGCTTTTATGAATCAAGTGCATGACAGTGCATCCAGGCTTCCTAATAGAAGTCTGGATTTGGAAGTAAATCAGAACCAAGTGAAATATGACCACCTTAATTTGTTTGTTTATCATATTTTATTGTACATTTTCATATGTTCTCTTTTTAAATGATGTATATTACTATTGCACTTTGTTTAAGCACAAACCACCGAGCCATATTCCTTGTGTAACTTGACAATAAACCATTTCTGATTTAGATACTGATTCTGTCTATGAAGTACAGAACCATTTACATTTTGTAGTTTGCATGATTTCTTTCACTTTACAAATGATATAACTGCACTTCTCTGACAACTAAAGTTTTAAAGTATCAGGGTTTGCTTATAAAATATGGCCTATAAGGGTCCGCTCATTGCATTTAATGCATAATCAAAGTCAGAACTGGCAGCAGTTTGACTGGAAACATGTCCACTTGACAGCTTTAGTTAACCCTTTGTATATTAATGAAGAAGTTAGAAATATGGAATATTCCTGTAATTTACCCGTTTTTTTCAAATTATTTCTGGCGAATTTCAAAGAAACAGCACAGAAATGTTAGAGTTTAGTTTAACAGTTCCAATATTGCACCTTTAGCTTAGGAAACAGACATTAGAGCTTTCTGCGTGTATTAGGTTTGTTTGTGAATCACAAATAAGTTTCTAATTAAAGTTCATGCAGATCTTTTTAAGGAGGTCAGGGTGGATGGACGTGTCAAACACCCTTTCACACACTTTTCACCCTTCATTGTTTTTTAGGGGTTTTCTTTGCAACGCTGAGATTGTTTTTCTCAGACCATAAGTAGATTTTCAGGGTGCAGATTTTGAGTCTGTAACTTAAATAACATAAGAAACACATTTAGTGTTTTACAAAACCAATGTGTTTTGTTGCATTTTTGTTTTGTTTCAATTTACAAAGTCAATCACTTTTAACCTGCCGTTGTCTTCCCAGATCTTAGCTTTTGATTTGCTGAACACATTGTTATCCTAACCAATAGAAATGACGACCAAAGCTATGAAAATAACACACGATGTCTGAGTTCTTCATTCATCAATGTTAGTAAGTAAAGATAAATGAAGTAGTGCTTCACTATGAACCAGCTGCAATCCCACAACACTGTTTCACACTGCATGCAGCAGCTTTTCTTCGTCAACAAGGTAACAGTTAGAACACATCCAAGGTGCCGGAGATGTGCACATAATCATAACATGGGTGGCAAAATCCCCAAGCTGTCAGCTCTCAGGGGATTTGTGAAATTTTTCCTTTTTCTTGTTATCCGCCACACTGAGTGAGTGCTGGCATGTTTCCGGGACAGTACATTACTATCACAGCTCGGAGGGGGAGATATGCAGAAATGCGTGGGTAAGCCAAATCTCTGGATTGAACAACAGCTGGGTACAATAAAGATGAGTAGGCTCCGACCCTAGAGGCGAGGAACACCCCCTTCCTCCCCTTACACATGCATACAGATGCACAAATAAACACGTATGTACAAACACACTCATGCACACACTGCTTTATTAATGATGCTTCAAAACAGATTAACTGAGTTCAGATCTGACATCCCGGGAATTATCCTTTAAAACAGGGTTCACTACGGTCATATGGACGTATATCCCTTTGTGAGGTGAGTGAGCTGACTGACCAGCTGTTGTCTTATTAAAGCAGTTATGATCGGCGATGCTGGAAAATGAGAATGTGACTCCTTCTCATCATCGACCTTTTCCTCTGCGGTCGGAACAACAGAGACGCACGCTGCAGGCTGAAAACTCACCTGCTTAACATGGACCTGACGTTGCACACACACACACACACACACACACACACACACTCATTTTCACTACTTATGAGGACCATCTGGTATGCAGTGTTCTTGAACCGATTCTAACGGGGAAAAGTCTTTATAGCTGTTCTAAATGGAGGCACTGGAAGCCTGTCCTCAATTTATTTTATTAATTAAATTAATGTCCGTGCAATTCTGTACATGGAGGTTGGGCTGGATGTATGTGTTAAACACAGGACTGTCATCCAGGAGATTCACATTTTTTCACATATTTTTTATTTACCTCCGTAACTTAAATAACGTAAGAAACATATATTAAGCCAAACCATTAAGTGTTACTGAACAAAACCAAGTGTTTTTGTTGCGTTTTTGTTTTGTTTCAATTGACAATGTTAACTTCGTGTTTAAAACCATTACATGGTCCGCATGCCTCTCAAAGTTTGAAAAAAACGTGTTCTGACTGGCTCCTTGTTGACAATTGGCTCCTGATCGGCTCTGTGGTATCCTTGAGCCAAACACTTCCACCTCCTTCAAAAGGACACCAACCAACCAAATAGGCTATTTACCAAGCAAAAGCAGCATCTCGTGTCCTTCCTGTAGATTTGTCCCCAGCGTCCTCCACGGCAGCTTCCACGCTGGCGAGAGCACCACTTGTGTGAGTACGTACTCGAGGACAGTGCGCCCATTGACCAACAACATGGCGAGTCCTTAAAGTAGGAGGTCAGAGTGGTGTTTGACTTTGGTACCAGAGACACATTCAAGTTGATTCATCTCACCTGAAGAGTTGGGGGGACAACGTTGGTCAGTTGGTTTATACATTTTTCCAACATTTTTCTAGACTTTCCAAAGAAATGTCTAATATGCAGTCCGACAAGAAAGTCTTTCTATAGAGCTCATTCTTCATGCAGAGCCTTATCCATTTTTGACACCTCCCTCTGGACAACTTTTACATTTTAGATGTTTTACTGGTATGGCTGAAAATAGCAAAGTCTATAAAATATTGTTCCTTTCAATACTTTTATATCGTGGAGTTTGACGCAGTCTTTTGGGGCCACTTGCAAGGTTGTGGGATTTTATACATATTGACTGAGCCATATTGAAGTTTTAAACTCCATTTTGGGATTGAGCCAAACACCTGCCAGAATGCAATCGGGGATCCCTTTCACAACAGATTCTTACATTGTCAACGACTTCGATGGAGTATCCACCCGGTCGGTAGTTGTAAAGGTACATGCAGTCAGGGGTTTTCTTCACAATGCTGAGATTGTTTTTGCTTTGAGTTCTGCATTTTGGCTCCCGGTAGGCGACGCTGGATTGGGGCTCAACCTCACTTTCCATTTTAATTAATCCTCATTCGCCTGTGGTTCTCTGATTAGAGCGGGGCAGCCTTGCGCTTCCTCTTTTCCCTGAAGCGGAACACGGAGCATCTGCCAGGCAGGAAGCTGCTCTTGACGGACGAGAGGATGGAGGTGACGATTGATGCACATGAAGGTGCAGGAGGTTATTGGGTTTGACAGCAGTCAGCAGACAGCGAGGTTGAATTAGGTCTTGTTATAATATATTTGAAGGAGCGCCAACATACATGCAACCGTCTAGAAATTATCCATAACAATAATAAAAGCAGCATTCCACAATTTAATGAATCAGATGTATTTTGAGATGTGCTGATTTTTTCGATGAAGTAAGACCTGGAGGAAGTAGCGTGCAGACAGCTCATCAACAGCTGTTCATAGAAAGGACAGTTCATTGAACAAACAATCTGCACATGAAACTGTATCAGACAGAGTTTTGAGAGGACAGCAATGCATTTGGTAAATTCCGGATGGGTTTAATTAGATCTGGCCCCTATGGACCGGAGCCAATTAGGAAGGAAGTCTCATGAAGCCTGACCTTTGGCCCCCAGGCGCACCTCCTGTGAAAATCCTAAAACTATAGCAGCAAAGACAAGACAATTTGTTCAATAGAGAGCTTTTTTTGCTTCTATATATATATATATAGATATTCACACCGCAGCCGCTTAGGGAAATTATACTTTAAAGATCAGCTGTAAAGTTGTGTCGGTTCCTTGACATTACAATGTACCTATGAACCTAATTTGCTTCCATCCTCAATCCTTTGAATTAGTGTAGTTTGTAGAGAGCAGTTTCTGCATGATTAGGCAGAAACGTGACCGGATTCTCAACAGCATGTGGTCGCTTTGCTAACCAAAATCAACAGCTGACGTCCATCGTGTCCACATGAATCTGAGGAGAATAATTAACGGGTTGGTTACCTCCGAGTGCCCATCTTCTGTTTTCCTTCCTCTCTGCGAGTGTTTGTAGGTATGTGTGTGTGGAAAACAAAAAACTTTCAATTGTTTCTCTGCTTGGTTTGATGGTACAAACTGTGGAATGACATTATTTTTAACTTCAGCCAGCCGACAATACAATCTTTAGGGTGAAGTTCATCACATTTGTTGTTCATATTGTGTCGCTCTTCTCCAAGAGCCTGGTGGGCGGAGTCGGGGAGATTCAGCTGGTCTGACTCCAAGACTCTATCAGCTGATGGCGGTCAGCCAGTCTCTTCCTCTCTCTAACATTACACTCATTTCCTTTTTAATTATGTAAAATAAACTTCTCTTTAGTTACAAGTTGTGTGTGTTCTCCCCTCTTTTGTTCAGTCTTAAGCAGAGTTGTGACAATATTTACAGTTGCATTAATCAATAATTTGAAATATGTTTTTTTAGGGTACGTTTAGCTAATTGTTTTGAAGCTCATAAATCAACAATGCAAAATAGTTTTTGGTAGTGGAGGGACCGGCGGCAGTAACAGTATTGGCACCATTGTAATCAGCATTGGTTCGTGGACTAACGTTTGAAGCCTTG